CTTAAATCTCCCTTAAATGTTGTCTCTCTCTCTGTTTTCCATCTGTCTGGACAAATAAAAACACTGAATGTCGGTTCATTATCCACTCCCCTCTGAAATCAACCACAGGCATTTCATATATTTTCCTGTCATAAGCAATAAGCCCTTCTTTCCGCTTGGACAATGAGCTTATTTACCCCGATAAAGATGGTTTCCTACTTACATCCAGCCAAAAGAGCACACAACAAAAAGGTCATCAAATAAAAAATCCACGCCCGAATACTCTTATAGTGGCATAAATCATCTGTGGTGGTCAGTGCGTCCCCAAACTTAATTTGTGGTCAAGTTTTGTAATTTCACTTTTTGTTTCCTCAGCTTGCTTTGTCTTGTTGTGCTTTTATTATTTCTTTGTTCCCTAGGATACCACCAGGACAAAGAAAGACGCCTGGCTTCAGAGAGGAAAACTGATAGAGGAAGAAAAGTCGCAAAGTGAGAAAAAAGAAGCTCGGCTCTCATTAAAATCAAAATGTATAATGATATTGTAGATTTTTGTCTGGATACTGAATACACACATGGATTCTCTACATTTCTATGAAAAACAGTTTGCTATTGATGTTTTAGAAAGCTGTATAGAGACATGTTCACAAAATTGAAGATAGAGACCATATTCTGAGGTGACATCATGTCAACAAAAAGAGAGTTTCAACAGCATTTAAGCATTTGAAGGAAGATCTCAACATCATGCGTGTCTGCAATTCAGGGTTATTCTTTTAAAGTTTTATAAATCAATTAAGAATTTTGATTAAAAAAAAGATATACTAAATAGTATCAAATCTCCAAGTAGCTAAAGCTCAGTCTATTCAATTTGAAGACCATTTGTGGATCAACTATCACAAAATGTGTATTTGTATATGTATGTGCATGATGTAAAAAGTGTGTACTGTGTGAACTGTATGTACCTGTATAAAAACGCATGTGTGTGTACGACGGAGTGGAAACTGAATTTCCCCCTCTGGGATTAATAAAGGTCCATCTTCTTCTTCTTCTTCTTCTTCTTCTAAAACCCATTTTTATTTGACTTCAATAATGTAAAATTGGCAAAAGAAGTAAATAATTCAATTGGAGAGGCTGAAAAAAATGAATGTTTGGTATTTTAGCATAACACACACGCATGCATGCACACACACACGCACACACACACACACCTGACCTGAGGGTCACCTTACCCTCTTTATAACAATTACTCCATTGATCAGCGTCACCTCTCCTCTCCTCTCGCTGACTGTTCACATTTCAGAACTGTGAGCTCATACATATTCTTGAACCTTCACAAAACTCTTTTGTGTCAAGTTGGGTTAACAAATAACTTCTAAAAGGTAGAAAAAAGAGGCCTCTGTGTGGAACATCTATCGCCTACATACCACCTACATACCACCTACGTAACACCTGCCTAACACTGAGGAACACACACACCACCTCCACCACTCAAAAGCAGGACATGCACTGCAGGGACGGGAATCTTTTCAAAGCTGTAACTTGACTCTGAGTATTCAACATTTCATCAGCTGACCACAACAAACCATAAATTAGGCAGTTGTTACATTTTTCTAAAATATACTTACTGACTACCCCGCCACAATAAAGCAAACAAAGATGCGGAAGCCTGATGCAAGGCATTAAAATAAGAGTCCCATCATTGTACCACTTCTTCTGTCGCTTGTAAAAGGAAGAGTTACACAAAAGAGAGACATTTGTGTGATGCAGCGAACACTCAAATATTGTCTGTTATTAAAGGTATTAAGGTAGCCTGCGCTAAATTAATGCAACACGGGAACAAAAATATATTCTTTAGAGGTTGAAGTGAATCGCTTCTGCTGGAGTTTTGATGACATTTAGAAAGAGAAGACTCGTTCATTTATATTCTTTTCTTCAACCATGATTATTATTTGAAGTGAAAAGGTGTTTAAAGGGAGGAATGAGCCCTAATCACATATAACCACAGCCAAGTTAAACAGCGTATATTAATGGCTTCAGTTGGAAACAGCTGGATCTGCAGCAGAGCAGAGAAGACTTTGAATCTGGCATTGCTCTACTCTGCAGACGTAAAGAATGGACAGTAAATCAGCAGCTACTTCACACAAATGGTACATGGAGTTCAAACGTCCAACTCAGGCTCCAACTATGAAACACTTCAAGGAACTTTTAAGGTACTCTCATGGGCTTTGAGAAACATGGTCAGACTAAGTTTTAAAGTCCAAACCATGATTTGCAACAGCAAAGAGCTATGGTTAAAAGTATAAAAGGTAAAGAGGACTTACTTTTAAGACGTCCTATCCTTTCAGACCATTTGTTCGGAGATGTATTATTCCAGTGAGAGTCAGGACGACTGGATGTTACAATCAGAGCCCTTCTCTCTTGCTCGCCCTCAGACCGTAAGTCGCCTTCACCCGGGCTGATGTAAGAAACCCCTGCACACATAGGAAAAAAATTGAGGGAGAGAAGAGAGAGAGAGGAGAAGAGAGAGAGGGGGAGGCAAAAAAAACCCCTTCACATTCTGTGGATTCTTGGGAGAGTGCCAGAGTCCCAGAATTCCACATGCCACACATAAGGTTTCAATTAAGTGCGAATCCAACGCTCCATCAGAAAGCTTTCTTCTTCCTCCTGCTGAAAAGAGTCTTTCTTTGACAGCTACAGGCTGAAGCAACCATAATTCAAGGTAACGTTTGGGGCTGCTGAACTCATTTCTCTGTCATTGTATAACAGATTTATAGAACTTAAAAATAGTTTCTTGCTTCAGTGTTACCATTTTTCAAGGCAAGCATAGATTTAGAATGCTGTAAATACATCACCTTGATCTTCAAATGCTGTAGATCTGATGATCACACACATAAAAAAAGACACTTTTAAATACTTTTTTTCTTTAAAACAGCACTTCGTCACAGCACTAATAGTCAAACCAGATGAAAAGTGAAGGGTCAAGTGTCAAAGAGAGGTTGTCTTCTACTGACATCATAAAGGGTGCCATTAGCTGATGATGTGGCCTCAACTGTTTGACCAGACTGAAGTTAAAAAGTTATTTTGAAATGGTTTCATTCAAAGAAATTAAAATGTTTCCTAAATGGCATCCATACTATCTTCCACTGTATTCCAAATAACTGGAAGGAATTTATGGATATTATAATCCACTTGAATGGAGTTTTTCTTCAGCTGCTTTTGACCATTTTTAGGCCGTCTAGCACTCTAGGGATAATGATGTTGGCTGTTGCTCTGCCAATTAATGGTCCTGAGTGAAATATCTCAACAACTATCCAATGGGTTGAACTGTGAAATGTTTACAGACAGCTAAGGTCCCCAGAGAAGCCTTCTGACATGGTTCATCCCCTGAATGTTTCTCTAGCGTGGTTGCGTCTTAGGAAGACATTTAGTTTTGAGTGAAATGTTAATACAAACAATCATGTTCCCTTCTAATCATTTGTTGACCTTGTAGTGATCACTAATTTACTCATGTACATAATTCACTCATGGAACTACAGGTGGGGGGGTATTGTTTCCGCATGGACATATGTGTTGCCGATTGTATTTATTGTGTGCCCTCCTGGCTTCTTCCTCTTCTCTTCCCGGGCTTCGACCCAACAACATGTGCATTTCTGCTGCTCAATAAAGCCATCTTTGTACCTTCATTGCACCGCCTCCGACTCCCTTCTCTCAGCACTACAACCTCATATTTTCTCATTTGCTGCCATTCTCAAGGTTTACATTTTTTTTATTTGGCCTGCATAAGCTGCCCTTTCTGTATGGTGCAAATCAGGGTTCCAACACCTTCTTATACATCAAATTTAAGTACTTTTCAAAGACTTTGCAGTTCCCGCATATTCAAGGATCCTACACAAAGATAGTTTGTGTAATTATCTTCATAATTTCTTAAGGCAGGTGGTGCGAGTATGAATGAGGTATTTCAGCAAGCAAAACGTAGCCTATTTACTAACATGAAGTGAAAAGATATCAAAATAACTTCAGTTCTGTTCTTCCACAAAATATATAAATGTAAGCACTTTTAATGACTTATGTCTATATTAAAAAAACGTTCAATGTCTTAACTTTTTCTCTTTTTCAGAACTTTTTAGGTAGCTGTGGAAATGATAGCAAATGTTAGCATGCTATCACGCTAAGCTATTATACATCCATGTTTGTACCCTGCTTAACATTCAGCTAAAGGCTAAAAGCACTGCTGTGCCTAAGTACAGCCTCACATACAGTCCTACCTGCTAACATGACTCTGGACGCTGTGGACTCGTTTCACGTTGAATATAAGATCTCTGCAGCATAACATTCACAGTACAAATAGTCTGAAAAGGCTTTTCTGCCTAAGTAGGCTACACATAATGCAGTTATGGGTCTGGAGGGACTACATTAAAAAAACTAGTCAGAAAGGAGCCACAATAATATTTCCTGAATATCTCCAGAGCTGCATTGCATGTTCTGGCCCATCTTAAATATAAACCATGTGCTGGACAATCTGATTCAAGACACCAGAAACTGTAATGCAAAAAGCACAGCCTTCAGTCAAACTCACATAGTTTACTGATTTTTCGGAAAATCTACCAATAGGCTAGGCTACTTATTTCCCAGTATTTTTTGTGTCTTCACACTCAAAGCCACGATAAACTGAAAACAGAATTCCCACACCGTATTAAACATAAAACTCAACAATTTTCCTGATCGATTCTCTCAAATTTGAGGACCACAATTACATATTTTGGGACAAAGATCATGGTTAAGTTACGTTACAACAGGTATTTTTATAAGGAGAACTGGCATCTGACGGTGGTACTTTCTCAAATGCAATGACGCAGGAGTTGTAGCATACATAATAGGAAAAAAATATATATATATATATTTTTTTAAACGGTATTTATCTTTTTTACCCCTCAACTTCACACGGATCTGTGGGGACATTTGTGAGGATCAAATAGACATCCTGGATGCACACAGGTAACCACACACATACAAAAGACAACATGTTCAGTTGGTTTTCCAATTAGGAAACTTCTTTAATAAAGAAGATAGAAATCATCTCTTAAAGCTGGATAATATCTGATCTTCAACGATTGCAAGCTGAAAAGAACCAGATATTATAAATACCCCCCACATCCCGTACCATGTACCTAGATTACATGCTAATTAATAAGCACCTTTCTGATTATTTCATCTCAGTTCAATGTTGTATAAAAATCACCAGGTAAAATGAGTAGATGGTCATTTCCACCTATAGAGCATCTATCAGTACATATAAAAATAAGTCTCATAAACTAAATAAATAGATGCACCTGAAGACTGCTTCATCCAGTCAGTAAAACAGGGATTTCGTACTTCATCTTATGCTATGTTCAAGTGCTCTTCATAACAAATATGAACTTAATATGATATTAACGTAGGAAGCAGAAAGAAAACTTGGCGCAGAAAAGCAAACGATTCAATTCATCTGGCTCGTTCATTCATTTTGGAGAAGACAGTCTCTTTCATGAAAATGTGCATGTCTATTTGTTATTGCACAGTGATGACAATGTTGAGAGACAAAGGGAGGTTGGTCTTTGGTGTTCCCTTTCTCTCTCTCCTTTATTGTCTAAACTCCGTTCTTCACCAGCTCGTGGACTCCTTTCTCATCGATCATCACGTTTGGATGGAACTCTCGTCCCTTCACCAGATCTTCAAGACCCTTGAAAGAAGTAAATAACACCATCAGGACATTCACCAACCGCTCTTAGGAAGAAATCTTCTTCCCACTTATGCATTTACCAATGTTTTCTTGTTTGTAAATAACCACACTGACATTTAATGGGGTGACGTCTGTGGGCTAGTTCAGGCCGTCAAATCGGGCACCAATAATACATTTACACGTGACGCGCCTCGTCCCTCTTACAACCAACCAAACACATGCTCCTAAACCTCCCGCTCTGTTTAAGCTGCCACTTCTGCCTTTGCCTTTATTAATATGTTCTAGTTTCTTTACAGCATTGAAAGAAGCCTCTGAAATGTTGTTATACTTTAGTTCAGGGGTCGGCAACCCCTGGCACGCGTGCCACCAATGGCACGCGGCACCGTAACCAGTGGCACACTAGGAATAAGTGGAATAAGTGTACAAAATATTTATTTTATTTTCGGATCCTGAACGAGACCGCCGCCAGAGCGCGTCTCCCCGTTACCTGCAGAAGGAAGCCATGCACGCAACGCAGCCCCACTCTCTTTAACTCCAGGCGACTTTCTGCCGCTTTCCTCCGTAATGCAGTGCTGATAGTTTCACCACAGAGGAAAGCACTTCACAAATTGCATTACCCATAAGGAGCTGTAAAAATGCCCCAGTTTTTGCGTGGCGATCGATATCGGCCGATACTCACTCTCTGCCGATCGATCGGTGCTCTCTAAAAAGGCCGATCGCGAGGCGTAACGTAATGACACTTTTCTCTGTGTGCGGCAAAACAAGCTCGCAAAAAAATCGCTTCACCAGTCTGGCAGTATTTTAAGGTGTCCGAAAATGACAATAAAATAGCGGTTTGCAACGTGTGTAAAGCAGAAATCCTGCAGCTCCACCCGCTGTGACGGACCGGTGAGCGGAGCAAAACACACAAGAGTTAGACCTAACACACTTAGCTATTTTATCTACCTTTGGAACTAGTTATACATATATTTATTCTTCACTGTCACTCATTACTGGATCAGTGAGCTGCATGAGATACTGACAGGCTGTCAGGAGAGAGAGAGAGGGGGAGAGAGGAAAAGAGAGCGCTTCCGCTCATTTCTCCCATGTTATTATCCAAAGTTAATGTAAACTTGAATAATGTAGGCTACTTCATTTGAATGTAACAATTATGTTGGTTGTTGTTTGTGGAAGCGCCAGTGAATGAGCCCCATTAACTGAGTTTTAAACATCACTTTTCACGAGTGTTTTTGTCGAGCTCTTCAAATGCACGCTGATAAAACATTTTTTTTTTTAGAATGGCACTTCATATCAAAAAGGTAAGAAAATCAATCTACGCACACTAATGACAACATGTATGTGCAACATAAAGGTTATCTTGTTTTCTTCAATTCTACAGTTATATAATATTAGGGATTTAAATATATTTACATACTGCCTGTGCTGCGGCACCTCTTTTCACCCTCTGTCTGAAACCAGAGCCCAGTCTGCTCTAAATGGGTAGTTGGCTGGCTATGTTGTTAATTTGACCTCTTAGGCCCTTTCTAAAGAACACATTTGAGAACAAACATAGGAAAATACGAGTGGGTGTGCAGATTATTCCAGGTCGACTGCAGGAGCAGAACAACATCTGGAGTTTACATTTTATACATTATTCCTCGCCTCCTTACCTCTCCCCCGTAGGACACCAGTGGGGAGATCTCACACTTGATTGGCAGGTCTGTTCCGTCCTTCAGGCTGCGTTGGAAAGGAACAAATTCAGGGAGAATAACAGGGAGAAAAAAATAAAACAGAATGAGAAGAGTGATTGTCTCATGAAAGCACAGAGGGACGGTAGTTGAGAGAAGCTTTTGAGCATCCTTGACACAGCTGTTCTTCGACTGCAGCTTGTGATTAGAGTTCAAAGGCAGAGAATTAGAGCTTCATTATTCCCAAACATGACCAGTGATTATCCCTCTGACCCATAACAGACTTCCTCCAGAAGAAAACAAATGAATGACGGGTAATGTGGTGGTATCTCCTCCCATTTTTTCTTAAAAAACCAGGGGAACTTGCCACCACATTCCCATCACTCAATTTGTTAATTTCTAGATAATCATTACAGACAAGAATCACTGATCACACATCAGGTGCTTCAGGTGTTTTCTGAGCAGCTGCCCACACAGCTGTATCATTAGAATGAAGGAAAATTGATTGTTTGAGCAAAAAGCACACCCTTTAAGAGCCAGAATAACATTCATGGGGGCCATAAATGTTATTGAAGCACATGCTAATGTATTATTAGGTCTGCGGGAAAAAGCAGGTGGATTTAAACCCAAAAGGCTGACAAGCAAGCAATGAATGGATAGGCTTGTCATAACCATTTTGCACAAATCAACAGGTTCATCATCTATTGCAAAGTTGCAAAACTGCTTGCCACAAAGTCTAACCAGTACCCATTACCCAGCATGCAATACAACGTATTTATTAGTAGCAACCATCTGAGGGGATAATGATCTGTCAGCAGGTCATTATGACTGCACATCATCTGACCAGGACGCAGAGAGCACTGCGTATTCAGTCGTCTAAACTGATCCTCGCTGTCATTCCCTTCATCACAACCGGCTGCAAAGAGACAGAAGATTGGCCGCAGCCTTTCATGCGTCCACGCAGATTCCTCTTTTCAGTGGTAATGAAGGAAAGCCGATCAGAAGAAGATATTATATAGTGTTAACGTTTCAATAGCGAGAGGGAAAGAAAGCCAGACCCCATCACCATGCACTCGGTACTGCAGGGGATGATAATTACTTTCTGTTGCCATCATCTGTGACACTGCCTGCCGCTCCGTCTCTGGAAACATTTCACGGGACACACAGGAGCAAGACAAAGCATGAGGGAAGGGGAAGTGAGAGTGTGAGGCTAAAAGAATATAGTGTTTATGACACCAAAAAAAAGCCAATGCATATATACACAAAGTGTTAAAGGCTGGAGCGACCACGAAGACCCCACTTCTGTGCTCATGCCAAACATGATGCGTGTGTGTGTTGTGACGTGACATGACATGCACGGTGCTGCGTTTTAACAGGCTGGCTGCGGTCACCTCGGTATGGCGGGCACATGTCTGCCGTTCTCGTCGATAAAGTGTCCCCCTGCGTTGAGCACCCAGCGGTGGTGCAGAGACATGAGGGCGTGTCTGGCTGTGGTGGGCGTATCTTTTGCATCCTGACTGTCGGCGTTCTTCAGCGGGGAAAACTCGTCCTCCCGCAGCACCTCATACACCACAAATGTCCTGTTTGACACACACAAAACAAGACATTAGCACAACAGAGTAAAGGGTGGACAATGAGAAGTTCTCAAAAAAAGACACAACGCAGATTTAAAGCAGCATTTAGTTGATATGCAGGTAGCTAAATGGGCATATACGACCTAAAACGTTTTTCTGAATATCTGAATTGATCAAATTGAGGACCTACATAGTTGTATGGTTCATCAATTAAGGATTGCTTAATTGCTATTGGTGCTATTGGCAAGTAAAGTGCTCTAGTGACTTGTAAAAAAACAATTAAGCACATCGGCCTTTGCATACTGTATGTCACACTGTGTTCTTACCGGTAAATTAAAATGTAGTCATTTTTTGTAGGGGCAAGAAGACAAAAGAAACAGAGTTCTGCATTTTTAAAGGGCATTTGTGACAATGTATCCTTTCAGTTACAGCCAATCTCTTTGAAATAATTGTGTATAGAAAAAAGAAAATATATTTTTTGGCTAGTGTGCGTAATGTAATCCAATTAAATGTGTTATGCCAAAATGCCCTCACAGACTGACGCTGTTTCTAGGTGCTAAATAATCACATAATCAGGCCAATTTTAATATTTGACACAAGGCCACATATACTGTATATGACCAATATTCACCCAGCAGACTGGGAGATCCTAAAGCCAACAGTGTTGAGAAAAAACTGAAAAATATCCAGTTGCTAATTAAGTTAGCTCATCTGGATTCTGCTAAAGCTGCTACTCTGCCAGCTTGGGCACTACTGTAATCCATCACCTCGACAACACAGAAAAACGTTTTTTATTTATTTTAAAAACTAAAGAAAACCTTGGGGGAAGGTTTGCATAGCTGGCTGCATAGTTTTTCCATCACTCAATCTTTACAGGAATCCTTTCATTAGATGTATAGTTCTATTAGTGGCAACGTGACTCAGAGCTGATGTAATGCAGCGCTGGAGGAGGAGGAATGAGTGAACAGCTCATAAACCTCCATCTTTCTGCACAGAGCTTGGCAGGCTCTGTCTGCTGGACCAGACCTTGAAGAAATGGCAGCACTGGGGCATGTGGATAGAGATCAGGACTGGAAAAATGGAGTTGGTTCATGCATGGAAGGACAGATCAAGGACTAGTAAAACCCAGAGTCTGAGGGCTGCCAAAAGAACATATGCAATCCAGCCACCTCTCAAAAGGAGAATAGGATATTCATTGTATTCTCCATACTTTAAGGCTGTTACTTTGAGGTGAGAGGCTGTCTGCTGATGCTCTCTCACACTCTGTGCCCTCTATGGAAAAAAACTGCTCTGTAACTCACTTGGCGAACTGGAATATGTCAAAGACAAACTTTTCCATTTTAATTCCATTTGGTTTGTCTGGTTTGATTAGTTGACCCTCTCCATTCACATATGGGATTTTCTTCTGGGCCACGTGGTGCTGCAGCTGTGGCTCGTACTTCCTGTTGGACAAACAAAGAAAAAAGAAGCTAGTTCATGGCAGCGCATTAACTTTATAAATCATATGGAGCTACTGTTCTCAATACAAGAAAGCACAACTACTGATGAAAAGAGCACAACACTTCATGAAAGCGTTCCAAATGTTCAGGGTGCATTGTTCTTACTGCACTACGTCTTTCAGAAAAGAGAAGCTGAAGAAGTGATTGGCCACGTTTCCTGCGTTGAACATCAGCCGGCCGTCAGCGCTGCGCTTCTCAGCGGTTGCCAGGGTGATCTCGCTGTACTCTACCACCTGATAACGTCCATCCACCTTGCAGACCACGCCCACCGCCTCTGTGGGATTGTTCTTCTCTACCACCTGGAAAAGATAAAACCAGAAGACTTTATAGCTGACCTGAACACAGTGTGTCACTCAGAGGGCTCTGTGATTCACAATTGCACTGGATCGAATAAGCAGTGTCTTAAACAAAAGGCTTAACAGCCACTGATGCCATAGATAATGTCAAACTGTTAACAAATCTCTAAGCATTCGACCGAACACAACAGAGCCGCCCAGCTAACCAATCAGAGCAGACTGGGCTCTGGTTTCAGACAGAGAGTGAAAAGAGTATTTCACAGTATGAGAAAAATGAAGCACTAGTTGAAAGAATACAAATAAGCCTAAAGTTTAAGTTTCTCTGATATTTTAAGTTGGATCAAAAAAGATATTTTCTTAAGTGTATTTACTTTTTAAAGCCGATAAGTTCAAGTCTTCACTGAATAAAAAATAAAAACCCTTCTCCCCATCTGCTGCTGGATGCTAATGACAGAGTGGAGTCCTGATGAGGGGTTGGTGAGCAGGGTGGAGTGAGGGGGAGGGGAGGGGGAGCCACATGAAATGGAGTTCAGTAATTTATGATGGGAGGGTGGGACTCTGCTCTGATCTGATCCTTCCATCTCTGCTCCACCGCACAACTCGTAATGTCAAACAGGAGTCTGGACAGTGTTTAGTTCCACACAGTTAAATATTTAGATGTATTCTGCGTGAGCTGGAAAATATACAAAGTAGGATGAACACTCTCTGTGGTCCTGCTAATAACGAGTCTTCTAGAGTCAGTCGGAGTATCTCACAAGAACTAGATCTTACAAACATGACCTCAGATACGTTTGATTTAAGAAGTAGAAGCAAAATGTATAAAAAGAACTGAGAATACAATAAATTGTGTATTAAGATGGTTTTGATGGAGTTCCCAGGGCATACAAATAATTATATTTTTCCAATTAAGAATATTCTGGCAGCAATGGTTAGTCATAAATGCATAAATAACTCTAAAGTTTCAACCCCAAAAAGCATAATAGGTATGATTTGAGAGCTTGATTTAATGGAAGCAAACATTTAGTTTAAAAAAAATAAACAGTGTAGTTTCATCCAGTTTTATTTTGGTTTAATACATTTGAAGATACTTGTTTATATATAATATACTGTACATGGCATTGTATTGTATTAAGTTTTGACTTGGCGCAGGCTCCTTAGGACTTCTGCTGGACGTTGCCCTTTATAGACAGAATCATATAAAACAGCTAAGCTTCCTGGATATAAGATGATGAATCTGAAATGAACATTCAGGCTGGCTACGTGGTGACTCAGGAGACAATCAGGCATACGTGCCTCAGTTGCACTCACAGGTTTCTCACCGCTGGATTTAAAATACACTGGCAGGACATGTTTGTTTCCATGACACGGAGGTTCTTAGTAAATGACAGCTTCTCGTTGGAGTTACAAGATTATTATCTTGTTAACTCAGAAAAAGAGGCCAAAAACGTTATCTCAAGTGAACGCATTCTTTTTATTATCTGTCCCACTTTAATGTTTATAACTGTTTGGATCACCTATTGGTGGCAACCATGGCAATAACTATTTTTACAACAGGAGACCAATCTGATCACAACTCTCAATCCTTGATCTGTTCAGCAAGTCACTTCCAGCTGCCAGCTTTTTACAACCATTTTTTCTGAATTGTGATGGACACATTTTCCCTAACACTTTCTTGGTTACTGAACTTTGTCACTGGTAAACATAAAAATTAGTCTTATTTGTTCTCCCTCCAACCCTCTGTGTTCTCAACCTGCACAGGCTCAACAAACAATTGGTAGTAGTGACTGCATTTCTGATCAAAATAAAAGAGAGAACATTTGGGATTTAAGCCTTTGCTTTAATGTACATGGTATCTATCCACAATGTAATGTGATGCTTTCTATAGCCTATGGTGATTCATATGTGAAAGAGGAAAGTCTCTGTCACACAAAACGGACCAGTTTTTCCGGTGGATCAACGCCCTTAACACATCTCACATTGATGGACCTGTTTTGTGAGTCTGTTTATTCCATGTAGTGCGTAAGCTGCACTGATACATATTACTAGTCAAACAACAAAAAGAGAAAGAAATCTACTTTAATCATTAACATGTTTTATTCACTAGTAGAAAATAAGTTTCCGGTTCAACCGTTTTATTTGAGAAGCTTTTTTTAAATTTCTAAAATGAAAGCACACTCGGTCCTAAGTGGTATCTCAATATCAAACTCATGTGATCTGAGACCTGATGAAAAGTTAAAGATGATTGAGGTCCTAATCTCATATTTCCTATAAAGCTGTAATGAATGTATTGCTCTAGACAAGAAGACTAAAGTAGACAAAGAGGCCTACATCGCCTCCCAGTGGTGAGCTGTGGAGGTTTTTATAGAAACTGATGGTTTAACTGCAAACCCACCACACCTTTTAATACAAGACACACACAGCAGTAACCCTTCAGGAGCTTCAGGAATTTAGAAAAACTAGACCGACTGATCAGACTGGATTCCAGTCAGTCCTCATGGTTTCACTGCTGAGATGCTTTGTTCACGCTCATCAATATTTGTAAAGCTAATGTGTCTTCAACCTACTTGATAGATTCTAACCATTGTGTGCATGCATTCTTACAGTATTATCATTACTTCCTGATACAAGGTAACTGAGCTTATCATTATTGCAGGTGCACAATAATTAGACAGATCATCTTTACGACTGGAATCTAAAACCTGCTGCTGCTAATCTTACTATCTCAATGATGTGATATGACAGCTCGGCTGTTTTTTGACCTAGCTAAGTGTTCCCACCCTACACCACTCCTCTGCTCCCTTAACTGGCCTACCATGCGGTGAAGGGATCTGCTCCTTCTTACATTCAGGACATGGTCAAACCATACACACCAACACGCTTACTTTGCTCTGCATCAGTGGACCCAGGTACCCCTCAACAAAAACACGCCTGTACGATATCCTGGCTCCAAATTTCCCATTGATATCAGGACAGCAGAAAGTCTACACTTCGTCGCAAACTGAAAACTCACCTGTTCAGTTGTAACTTGGCCATTACATTTGTTTAAGCTTAATAGAATACAACTAAAAGAACATTATTATTATTACTACAATAATACATGTAAAAAGTTACACTTTAGGCAGCATCATGTTGTGATAGATATGGATTATTCTAGTCACACTAGGAAATCACAGCATTAAGATTTCTTTTTTTTTTTAGCTTCTTTTAGGTTTTCAATTATGCTCTGAATGTCTCATATTTATGATGTAATCGCTCTAAATATACATAAATTGTCCCTCAGAAAAAGTCCATCATTTATACAGAATAATTCATCCGTTTAAATTAAAGTTGGCCTTTTAAAAAAAAATTAAATCCACAATGCCTGTTACTTGTCACTGCCTGCTTCACTTTCTGTGGAACAAGTGGGAGGGTAAGCAGTCTTTCGACCAAAAATCTACCTATAAATAATAGTAAAATACTTAGAATAGTTGCCTAATTTTTATGAGCAACTATGTAGAAATACTGGGATGAAAACGATGTAAAATAAATGAAAAAGATGAACAGCAATTGAGTGTTGTCAGTGTTAGAAATTAAGCTTTAAAGCCTTTTCAGTACAGACCCACCTAATTAGCACTAACATTCAAATAAGACCTATTTTACATCAATATAAAGGTGTGTGACCAACCTTAGCTCCACAGTCCGCTCCCTTCTTCACACAGAAACCAATAAAGGAGGGGTCAGCCACTTTGACCAGGATGTTATCCACGCAGTACACATGGACGAATCCAACTCCCCTCCGCTCCATGTCGTCCATGATGTTTTGGTTCCCCAGAGCTCTGTAAAGACCCCCGTTCCCATCTGAAAAACAAACACAGAGACACACGTTTGAATCAAGTTTGAATCTTCCTTTGGTCAAATAAGACACAAAGACACTTTTATGGGAGCAAAAGTCACAAATCCTGCAGTGGGCTCACCAGGGGCCATGGAGAGCTTTCCTGTGCTCTCCAGGATGATCTTGCCGCTGTAGTCCATGGCTGGTAGCATGCCCTGCTGGAAGAAGATGATGTTGTTCTTTTCCAAGCCGAAATAGTTGTTTTTTGAGAAGTATTCCTTCGTGGACTCCATTGTCCTGCCGCTGGTCATGATGTACCTGAAGGCAAAGTGGGGGGAATGTAGTTAAAGAGCGCTATTCAGACGCAAGGCCATTCAAAGCTCTTTAGAGACAGATAAACATATTAACAATAAGATGTTAAGAAAATATTGAGAGGCCATTTAAAAAAGAACATTTTTGAAAGAACAAGCATTTAGGAAGTTACACATTAGAAAGAAAATATATTTTAAAAAACAATAAAACAAAAAAAGAAATTAAGCAAATTAAGAATGCATCCTTTTATTGGAAAGAATCAGTAAATAATAGCAAGTAAATATAGTTATCAGTAAACAAAGTGTTTTATAACAACTTTTGAACAGGTTGCTGAGGGAAAACCCTTCAAAGTAAATGCTAAAATGTATTTTAATCTTTAAAATGCAGAAGACATTTCTTTAGCGCCTCTTCAAAGAAATACAATTTACAACAAAGTGGACATCAACCCAAGCCAGAGACATATATGTTTGAAGTATAGGACAGACAATCAAAAGGAAACAACTTCCTTACAGAAACAGACCTGACTTAAATTCTGACATAATTCCCAGTGACTGTTGAACTCTAACTGCATTGTTATGTAAACTTTATGCACTGCACAAATGTCCTGTTAAATCCATCATCCAAACTGTCCTTTGATCCACCCTACGGGGAATTAATCCTTTTCCTGTAATTCAACTTCCTTGACTGAGTTTCCTTTTGAGGCAGTGCTTTGACCCAGTTAATCGTCAAGCAACACAACTACAACAAATGGCTTTGATTCTTAATATGAGAAGATAAGACAGTTTTTGGTAGCTTAGATCTTTTCTTCTTCTTCAAATAAAGCAGCGAAAGACACACTAACTCAAACGCTTTAGTCATCTCTTCCTAAATAAGCGTCCTAAAGCACAACATGACTTCTTACCAGGGAATACAGCACTTGATTTTGTGCTTCTGCTCAGCCAGCTGCTGCAGCTTCAATATGCGCTCGGCCTGGATCTGAAAGAGGGTTTTGTGGGACGGCAGCCGCACGTCGTACATGCCTTTGGGGTAAGAGACCCCCAGTCTGGTTCCCTGGCCCCCGGCCAACAGCAGGACCGCCACTTTACTCTGAGAGATGCAGTGTAGACCTGAAGGAGCACAGAGCAGGACAGTCACTATACATAGAAGCAAGAATATTTGTCCTATAAAGCGTCAATGTAAAGATTGTGAAACACTTAGGGTTTGTATGGCTTTTGTAAAAATAAAATGCAAGAATCAAAAATGTCTTGACTTCCGAAGTAATTTACATCAAAATGTTAACTTTATTTGCAAAAAATAAGATTTACAAATTCCTTTGTACCCATGGCAATTAATATACAGGATCCTCTAAGCAGAAATGTTGATACATGATACATTTTTATCATAGGCTCGCCTTAGATCAATAACAAACTTTGCTAATTAAATGCATTAATAAGATGTCCATCATGTTATGACTACTCCTAAAGTACATTGCTGACATAAGCCCTAAAATCTAATTACTCTACACAAGAGTCTGTTTGCTTTTATTGTGGTTCATGGGTTGAACGCTTTATAACAGGGTCAGTTTATCTTACATAAACAGCTGCGACGTGACACGATACGCTCTTCTTTCTTATAAGTACCAATAGACAAGGTTTATGTCAATGGCTTGGGCGGGCCTGCTAGACTTTGACACACACACACACACACGCACACACACACACACGGTACTGACAGAGCACAGTGATCTCATAAATGAGGGTCAAACAGCAACTCTATTTACGTCAGACCCAAATCAGAAACAGATGTTCTCTGCTGCTTGCCTCTATTGTCATCCTCTCCCAGGGAAAAAACCCCACTAAAGAGACTCACTAAATGGTCAGACCCCCACTGCAAAGGGGGATTGCGCAAATTATAATGAACAACGCAAGCTTACTCTTATTTCATAACTACGCAGGAGACTGGGAAAATGTTCTGCAACAACACAGCGAGCAAAAGAGTTCTGTTGATGCTGTGGATTTCTAGAAAAACTATTAAATATGACATGTCATTTGTTAGACGCTTTTATCCAAAGCAAAGTATTCAGTACTGTGGACAATCCCCACAGGAGCAATTATGGGTGAAGTGTCTTGCCCAGGGACACAACGACATGCTGACTGCAGTGGGACTCACTGCAGTCAGCATGTCGTTGTGTCCCTGGGCATGTCGTTGCTATCCCCTGATTCGAAGTCCATCATACTCTCCACTGAGCCACAGCCTCCTTTAATACGTTTTTATTAAATGTTGATTTTGTGCGGGAAGTCATCTACAAGAATGCCCTCTGTCCCATAAATGACATCAAAGCATCTGGGTTACCATGTGATGTTTTAATCCCTTTAAGGCTTCGCTGTCTGACACCAGGAAATATTCCCTCTTCCTCACCTGTGGGCCAATTCTTTTGGTTCACAGCAAGACTTAATTGCTCAGTGTCTCTAGGATTATTGTTCCTGCAGTAACTAGGCAAGTCTTGCGATTACTCATATGTTAATTCCTACTGTATTAAAATGTAATACATTCAATAAAACTAAATATTGTCTTTTTTACAGAGGACATAAGCCACTATAGTAACTTCCGAGCAGCCATGGAGATTGGTTTCCTTATAGCATGTAGTACGTTGTTCAAATAGAGATGTTACATTCAGGCGTACACAGAAGCTGTATGAATGCACTTTCTGTGGGCAGGAACAGTTGAATGGAGCTCACCTGTTAGCTCCCAGTCTTTGAGGCTCTCCCTGTCCCTCGTCACACTGCCCAGCACCTCTCTGGGCACCGGCTCCATGCGAGCGTCCATCTTCTCTTGTTTGCTGCTGCTGGACGTCTCCATGGCCTTCTGGAAGAATCCATTGATCTCCTTAAAGTCCATCCCCTGCAGGTCATGGTTCAGATCGGCCTGCTCCTTGGGGCCCAAATTCTTCCAAAACTGCAGGAGATGAGACTGGCCGGCTTCAGCCAACCTCATGGCGAGTCCGCTGGCGTTTGGGTCCATGATGAACAGGGCTTCTGGTTAACTCTGCCACACTGAAAGACAGATTTAAAAATAAAATGTGTGGTTACTAATTAGGATATCGGGATCATCTAGCTAGATCAGAGAAAATTCTCCTAACTGTCCCCAAACACTGGAGCAGAGCTGAGTAAATCATTCTTCACCTTTTGACGCCCTGCAAGCCTGGAATGAGCTGCAAGGCATACTTACTGAAACCTGATGACTCTTGACATATTTGTAAAATACTTTAAAATATGTTTTTAAATAAATAATGTTGATGCTTTTGTCAAGTGACTTTATTTTCCTTGATTCTCGTAGCCTTTCATTGTTTCATATATATTGTTTTTTGGCCCCTTTTTATACTACCTTTAGTGCATGTACTGCATATATGAAACTTTTGTTTTGCTTACCATCTCGACCAAGGCTCCCAAACAGATTATAAACTGTATCTTATCAGGAAGTTACTAGTTAAATAAAAGAACAATTGAATATCTTCAATCATATTTCTGGAAATGTGAGGGTTATAAAGACAAGAGCCGATATTTGTTCTACCATTTCTCACATATCATTATGTCGGATTTTAAAGACTGATATTTTTAGACTAAATCTGATTTTGTTTAGGAATAAACACAAACAGTTTGTATGGTAAATAAATAAGTTCAGTCATAATGAAAGGAATTTGGTATTTTCCATCACATAACTACCAACTGGTCTGAATATATATAATATATATAAAAGTTCTTCAATGGCAAGCCAAAACGTTTTAAAGTAGGTGTTGTTCTGTTGATTTATGAGTTATTATGACGTCAGTACAATCCTCACTGCTGCTTGTTAAACCAGAACAATCAGTGACAACACAATGCACACCCAGCATGACATTTACCTCTTATTCTGGAACCGTGGGCAATGCAATTATCTTAATAAATGCTGCAATGATTAATTAACCTGTTTGTTTGAACCCACACCCACAATGAGCATCTTGCTAAACCAGTGATTCCTCACACCAATACTGGAGGAGACGTTTTAGCATTTTAATGGGATGGTAAGGGCTACAGCAAGATGGGGCAATATATATATTTTAAATACACAGCTGCTTGACACGTGAATGGTATAGCCTTATTTCTAATTTAAAGCATTCATGATACTTTCAAACGTTATGTTTCCATGAGGCTGTGTGAGAAACCTTCAGTAGGATTATGAAGGTTTCACATGTACAGAGGTGGGATAAGTAATCAGATTGTGTACTTAAGTAAAAGTAGAAGTACCAGTGATTAGGAATACTCTGTTACAAGTAAAAGTCCTTTATTAGAATAATAAATGATATGTTTTGATTGTAATTATTGATGCATTAAAGTGTTATCAAAGCTGGTAAAGCTGCAGCTAGTTTTCATTACTTTGTATACTGCAGGGTAGCTTGTGAATGTCACTCCAGGTGTAAAGGAAGTCTTATTTAAGTGTTGAATATATTTCAAATCATAAGTCAAAATCACTGTTAACCTTTGAATTGTAGTGTGGTAGAAGTAAAAAGTAGCAAAACATGGAAATACTCTACTATGGAAGTACAAGCCCGTCAAAATGAGGTAGACTTGAGTAAATGTAGTTACTTTACACCACTGAGCAGAGGACATTTAATATTAGCATGGCAACATGAATTGAGATAAGATAAGATAAGAAGGACCTTTATTGACCCAAGTATGGAAATTCAGATCGTATAGCAGCAACCGAATTAGACAGAAACACAGATAGTACACATGCGATATAAACGGGCATAATAAGAATACAAGTACAATAAAACAAGAATAAACATGTGTCAACGGTTGAATAGAAATAACAAAAATAACGTGAGATAAATTCTGTTCCGGCACATTAAGCTGTGTTCTTTTAAAAACAAAAAGTGTGTTTTCTATGCAAACTACATTCATCCTCTATCTGGTGTCAGCAGTGACAGCTGAGCAGATATTAGCAGCTAACCGGCTAACTGTGCAGCTCAGAGTTAGCGCAGCTCAATGAAAACTTAAAAGATAACATGCCTGGAATATTAAACTCTTACCTCTCTCGACAAGTACTCCTCTTGGTTTAAAGACCATTAATGCCAGTCTTTGAGGGGTTTATTGTACTGGAGAGTTTGCCTCCCACCCGGACACCACCTCCTCCTACGTCAGTGACGTGGCACAGGCGTAAGGTGCATTCAAGTGCTTCAAATGCTGGTCGGAAATTCCGTCGAGTTAATCCTCAAATGGAGTTTATAAAAATGATAAAACAAGGACTTTCTGATATTATTGGTGATTTAATTTAGTAAACACTGAATGTCTAAATATTAATATTTAAGTGTTCAGGACCATATCAACGGATGGAAGAATTCACTCAAAATATCACTTCGATGCTGAACCGACGAAAACTATGGACTGTAAACGCCCCGAAACTTTTGTTTTATTATTTGTTTGTATTCATGTTGTTGGAGTAAGTCCCTCGGGGTTTGTTAAAGCAATACATTATTGTTTTCAAATGTATTTTCTTTACTATTTTGTATTTTCTGTTTGTCATGTAAGCTGTTTTGGTTGTTTTATTTGTAGGCCTACTGTGCCATCACCATGGCCTTTGTTAGAAAAAGTGGTGGGGACAATATCTCCAAATGTAACATCAGCATAGCAGAAGACAACATTATGTCCCTCCCATTGGTGTTGAACCTCGAGCACCTGCATGAAAAACCAATGCATAGACCTCTGGACCAAAGCCAATGTGTTTTAAAAACCATGAATGCCCATGAATGCTGTGATGTGAATTTGAGTGAATTTGTACCTTTACGCACAACAAGCACAAAGGTATGGAGGACAGAACATTATATAAGTAAACAAATAAATACATGCATAAATACATAATAAATACAGGAATAAATACAGGAATAAAAAAATACAAGAATAAAGAAATGTGAAAAAAACAGAAAGAAAGAAATGTAGAGATAAATACAGGAATAAATAAACAAGAAAACATTTATAAATATGGAAATAAATAAATAAAAGTAAAACAAATATATAAGTTTAGAATAAAACAGAAAACATATGATATATCTTTAATGTATTTCTACATTTATTTTCACTAACATTAACATATGTATGACTTTCTATGTTGTTCTGGTTGGTATTCTTGTATTCTGTGGATACGACAACATTTATAACAAATGTACTTTCAATTGCTCTGAAAGTTTCAACAAGTGCACGTGTCTTTAACAATATCTTTGAGTTAATATCTTATTTAACTTCCGCTGACCAGTCCCACTTTTATTTGGAAGCTTTGTGTCAAGTGTTACACAGTGAAAGGAGAAACACAGTGACTCTTCTCTCTTCAATACATATTTTAACAGCTTACAGCACCGGGAATTTCCAGCGTATTCATGTTCTGCATACACCTTAAAGCCCCCTGAGACAAAAGTACAATTTGTGATATTGGGCTAAATAAATAAACTTTGAATTACTTTACATTTATGGATTTGGCGCAAGAAGTACACTTCCCTTCAGAGCCCTCAAGAGCCAGATATAGATGTTTATTAGCGTTAAAAATTGTTTTTGATATTAAAGGTTTTGCTACTACCTAAAACTCAGTATGTGTAAAGGATGGGATTTCTAACAGGTTTGAGATATTTGATTTTGAAGCTCTTCTCCACTATAGCAGTGAGATAACGCGCACATTTAACAAGCAGCACAATACAGACTAGGATAAATCAACATGATAACTGCATGGCTGGGATTTATGGAAGAGGATTAGGGCCACATGAACAAATAATTTTGGGGAAGTGAAAATAAAAATAATAAATGTTTTCCCCCAAAAATATATATTTTTTAAATCTGAGAAAAAGTCAGATTAAAGTCAGAATTCTGAGATTAAAGTTAGAATTCTGATGACATTTTTTTTTTGACATCCCCACATATTTTTTTTCATGTGGCCCTAATCCTCTTCCGTAGGGATTGAACCCATCACCTTCAATAATAAAAGAAAATCCTTGATGCCAAAGCATACTGTGGACTCATGTCAAAAAAGAAAAGGAAAATTCTAGGTTCCTGTCGGAGATACTAAATGTCAATTAGGAAAGGCGCAAAGTTATTAAGTACTTTTGCTGAAAAACTGTCCGTGACGTCATCTTCAATGAGAACCCAAGAAAAACAACACAGCCGTTAGCTGTTAGCACTCAGAGCTCACAGCTCCTCATATATGTTCAGAAACTAGACAAAAGTTAAACAAGTACAAACCACAGACTGCCTGTGTCATGGCGAATACAGTCGCTGCTTTATTTATGTCTGTATAGGCCGTTGTTGTGAGTGTGGACGGTCGGAGCATATACTGCGTTAGCTTAGCCAATCTCCATTTAGAAAACACGCATTTTAAAAGGTTTTTCGCCTGCCGTCTGTCTGCAGACTTGTCAAAGCATTAATTCATGGTTTTTACTAATAGTACAGCGGATAAGCACAACAATTGTGCATTTTATGAGAAAAGCATGACATTTCTAACATAGTTAGTGCATACCATAAGGTTTATTTTCAGATGTGGAGGGAAGTCAGATTTGACCTGTGAGGACCGTGAGAGGTCAAATCCAAGATGGCCGCCAGTCTCTCGGGTCAAATGTTCAAACACGCTTAATTTTGGAACCAAACATTGTAGAAAAACATTTAAGGTGTCATATCCAACTAAATTATGGATGCCCAATCATTTGGTGATACTTTTGAGATCGCCAGAATTCAAGAAAATGCATTTAGGTGAAGATAAAGGTAGAAATTGACCAAATATAAGCTGTCAATCAGTTGAAATTTGCAAAATGTGTGTGTGTGTGTGTGTGTGTGTGTGGGTGTGTGTGTGTGTGTGTGTGTGTGTGTGTGTGTGGTCACCCAGCGCTAGCATTAATACAGACACTGGAGGAATTTGGCTTTACTTGGCACAGTCTGCATGCTGAAGCAAACATTTGTTTTTGTCTTCAAATACATACTGACATGATTGCAGGGGCGGACTGGCCATCGGGACGTTCGGGACGAATCCCGATGGGCCGGTACTGAAGTGGGCCGGTCGGACGATGTGGGCCGCTCGGATAAGTCACTAGCAAGCACCCCCCCCCCCCCCCCCCCCCCCCCCCCGTTGATAATTTACCGAAGTGGGCCGGTCGAGAGTCCCGGGCTGATTTGCAGTCCCAGTCCGCCCCTGCATGATTGTGACGAGCATTATATTTGCTCCCAGCCCAACTCTCTAAGTCTAAGTGCTTGAACTCCGTGACAGGAGGATGACGTATGTATAAATGGATGGAACTATCAACAAAACAACAGTGTTTTATTCCCCAATGTCATATTTAATAGAAAAAATAATGATGCACCTCTTATTGGAGAAAGAAGAATGGGGAACAGAAAGGTTTAGAGAGGGACAACATGCTGAAACCTTGCAACTTCAGTGCCAGAGAAAAAAGGTACTGTAAGTACACTTGTGGTTATTGTCCTCATGTTGCACAATTGTTAATTCAATAAAGATGTTTACCGCATGTGGGCAAAAATCCATCAATCTTTCAATTTTCTAAAACTTGTTATATCCTTCGAGTCATTTCAAATTAGTTTTTTTCTCCATGCCATGGAGTCTAAATGGGTAAACCTTTGTATTTGTAATTGTACAGCCATGCTAGGACAAACAAATCCCCTTTGCCCATATTCTCTCTGCACTCTCTGTCACACACACAACATACATAACCCTTTCTTTGCATGACCTCTAAGTGTCCATGTGAGCCACTAAAGAACAGAAAAAAAGCTGCGCTACCTTGGCTTTATAGGTGGACCGGCAGGGAATCGAACCCCAACCCTCTATAAGTGGAAAGGGACAGCGGTGAACCTTTTAGTTGAGTGCAGCCCTTTGTTAACAGCGAGGGTTAAGAGTGCTGTTTGTGCTCTACATGGAACTGTTTTCCATCTCCCTCTTTGGTTTACATTATTATTATTATTTTTCTATTAAATATGACATTGGGGAATAAAACGCTGTTTTGTTGATAGTTCCATCCATTTATACATACTTCATCCTCCTGTCACGGAGTTCAAGCACTTAGACTTAGAGAGTTGGGCGGGGAACAAATATGATGCTCGTCACAATCATGTTAGTATATATTTGAAGACAAAAACAAATGTTTTCTTCAGCATGCAGACTGTGCCAAGTAAAGCCATATTCCTCCAGTCTCTGTAGTAATGCTAGAGCTGGGTGACCATAAATCCACTGGAATATACCACACACACACACACACACACACACACACACACACACACACACACACACACACACACACACACACACACACACACACACACAGCAAATTTCAACTGATTGACAGCTTATTTTTGGTCAATTTCTACCTTTATCTTCACCTAAATTCATTTTCTTGAATTCTGGCGATCTCAAAAGTATCACCAAATGATTGGGCAGCCCTAATTTAGTTGGATATGACACCTTAAATGTTTTTTCTACAATGTTTGGTTCCAAAATTAAGCGTGTTTGAACATTTGACCCGAGAGACTGGTGGCCATCTTGGATTTGACCTCTCACGGTCCTCACGGGTCAAATCTGACTTCCCTCCACATCTGAAAATAAACCTTATGGTATGCACTAACTATGTTAGAAATGTCATGCTTTTCTTATAAAATGCACAATTGTTATAATATGAGAGCTTATCCGCTGTACTATAACCGGTATCAGTATGTTGTTACTTCGGCATCATTTTGAAACGTGTATTACAATTAAATCACGGTCAAATATGTCCATCTTGTTGTAGTTGTAGCCCCTTTGCCAGCGATTCTCTCTCTAGTTTAGCATACTCAGCCCGACACAGCCTCGTTGTCTCTGGCCCTAGACCCACGATTTTATGAGGCCAGAAAAACTGTGAATTAGGACCATAGACTGTATATATAAATATATTAGGACCCGCCGGCCGGTACTAGGCCAAGTGGAAACGCAACCAAAAACGGGCCGCTGACGTCACAGCCCTCTTATGGCGCAGTTCCACTGCAGCGCGGAGCTCGCTTTAAGCGTGCCGTGTCGTGCCGCACCCCTTTTTTGGTTGTGCTTCCACTAGGCCTAGTTCCGGCGCGGCACGGCGCGGGGCCACTTTTTCACCTCTTTTCTGGCCCTAGAAAATTGTGGTTCTATCGGGGCCAACAAACAGGGCTGAGTCGGGCTGAGTATGCTAAACTAGAGAGAGGAGCGCTGGCAAGAGGGCTAGAACTACAACAAGATGGACATATTTGACCGTGATTTAATTGTAATACACGTTTCAAAATGATGCCGAAGTAACAACATACTGATACCGGTTAGTAAAAACCATGAATTAATGCTTTGTCAAGTCTGCAGACAGACGGCAGGCGAAAAACCTTTTAAAATGCGTGTTTTTCTAGATGGAGATTGGCTAAGCTAACGCAGTATATGTTATATATATAACCGTGCTCCGCGCTGTAGTGGAAACGCGCCAAAAGTATCCTAGATTTTGATTATGATGTCACGTCTGCATCGAAATGAAAGTAATGTTGCAGTGCCTCACTGTGTTCACTGGAAGGCATTGCGTTGTTGATTTTGTGTGACATCTTACATTATATTTATTCATACAAAATGAAATCAGAAGTAAGAGCAAGGGTTTGAATATGGAAATGAATTAGTGGCAAAAGCAGTGGAACACAAAATTAAGGATATTTCTTGGTTAATATAACAAAGTAAACTCAACACACAGAAAGCTGTAAGACATTTAAAGGATATCGAAATGTATATTATAATATATTGATTAAAACAAATATTTATACTATTTTAAATCATTATATTATTTACCTGATGATAGTAGTGCAGGGGATTATGTATTGTACACCATCATGTACAGTAGGTGGCGGTATGCACATTATAGGTAACGGTAATAAATCAACAGAAGAAGAAAAAGCGGAAGTAGTTCTCGATCAGCTGAGTTTGTTTTGGTCCTCCTCTCTGCTAGCTGTTCATCTATTTGTGTTTCTGTGATAAACATTTTCTGTGACCACTAAGGGAAATGAAGAAGCTTTTTGATGGCATTAAGAAAGACATGAAGTTTAAAACGGCGGGACCCGGGAAGAAACTTACTGACGACACCAGGCAAATAACAAACTTTACTTTTTACTGAAGCTACACCGCTAGAGCTAGCCTTAGCTACTGTAGTCTAATATCTGCTGCACTATTGAGTTGGTACATATATTCATGCTGATCAATAATCGTTATTGATGAGCATGTCATTAAGCTAACAACAACTCTACTGATGAGAGATGTTACTGTAACTGGGCTAAATGTTTATTCGCCGTTAGCATCTGTGTTATATAACGTTAAAGCTCTGCAGCGGGAGTCGCCCATCTATTCTCAGTGGAGCTAATCCCACTCCAGAACAATCTTATTTAGCCAATAGTCTTAGTAACGTAAAGTGACTTTTACTCACACTTAAGACACCCAACAGACTGACTGGAAATAGTCCTCCTGTCAGTGGTGTAGGAAGTACTCAGATCTAATTATACCACAGTGTAGAAGTACCTTTTTACAAGTAACAGTACAAGTGTTACTGGTGTGATACTATTGGCATCAAAATATACCTAAATTACAAACAGTAATTACAGTAGTAACAGTATGTATTGATCATATTTAAAAATGATGTTTATTATATGATTGATTATGATTATCAGTGAAAAGTAACTAAGTACATTTACTCAAGTACTGTACTTAAGTACACATTTGAGGTACTCATTTTTACCACTTTAAATGTCTACTCTACTACATTTTGAAAGACAATTTTGTACTTTTTCTCCACTACATTTATTTTACAGATTTATTCAGTAGTTCATATTACATTATAATAACTAAAACCATGACTTGTGTAAAACAACAACCTATTAGCATCAAAATATACCTAAAATACAAACAGTTTCAGTACTTATCATGCAGAATGAAGTATTTAAAAATGATGTTTATTATATTATTGATTATGATTATTGATTCATTTAACCTAAGAGATCAAAAAGACTCACTGTCTCTTTTTGGGGATGTCGTGCTATCCTCAGGGGAACGTAGCAGGTCAACTTCTGAACGCTGGGAACCTAAAGATTAAATTGAGATGCAGATTAACACTATGTAACATTTTTCTAGTCATAAATCTGTAATAAACATTAGGTTTGTGTTATGCATCTGCTCAATTAAAGGCTTAGAGTGGATAAGTGTTTAGAACATTATGATTAAGACTTTAAAAAAAGGAATGAGGCACTCTAAGTCAAATCCAAGCTATAAGGATATGTCTGTTTTTAAAGATGTAACTACAGTCCTTCAGATCCCTAGGTAGACTAAGAACAGAGACTAAGGATACGCTTTTGTAACAGGAAACAAGTAAATCAAACATAACTCCGAGACTTTTGACCTGGTCCTTAGTATGTAAGGCTAATAACTAAAGGTTTATATACTGTTGCTTTCTCTGGGCTCTTGCATCAAATATTATGATCTCTGTCTTGTATTGATTCAGCTATAGGAAGTATTTATCAAAACAACATTTATTTGGGAATGGATATTTGAAGCCCACGTAGAACAACTGCATGTCTCTTCACATTGCTTTTCTGTCCCCTGCAGTACCAAGCCTGATGTGGTGCAGAGCGGCTCCGGTGCCAGGCCGAATCGCCATGGTCCCAGTGAAGGGTCCCAGAGGGCTGGAGCCGCCGCCCTGGCTAGAATTGAACAGATTCCCCGGCCAAAGGTCGGCACCTCGCAGGATGCCATCAGGAACCAGGGTGAGGCAAACAACCCTATTCCAACAATGCTTCAGTCATTTTAATCAGTCAAAATTACAAAGTACGGCTTGCCTTTGGATGTGTTCATAGATAACGGTTAGATGCACACGCTTATGTTCTTTGGGCTACATTCAAATATAGTTTGATTTAAAAGTCACCTATTATGCAAAATCCACTTTTTCATGTCTTTTATACATACACATGTGTCCCCTCTGTGTAAAGAGATTCTAAAAGTTTCAGGAACAAAGACCCCCTCTCTTTTTGTCCTGATCCATTTATATAAAAACCTGTCTGAAAATGTGCTGATCAGATTTTGGCCACTTTATGATGTCATAAAGTTGTTTTGGCTTGTGTAACCATTACCCAATCACCAACCAAGGTAACCCCCCCCCCACCTTATCACCTGAATCTCCTCCTAGAGCACCATTGAGTTCTTCTTAACCAAATATCTCTCAGAGGGGCGTGGGGAGTGGCTCCTTATTTTCATCTAAATTAACAGACAGAGAATCAGCACTTTTGAAACAGGGGCTGAAACAGAGGGGATTATGGGATGCTGCAATGATCTGTTTAGTATTTCGAGCTAAACACTTCAGAGACATGTGCTGTATATATCTGAGACCTATAATATATTGATGAAAAACTGTATAATAGGGGACCTTTAAGAATAACAATTTTGTTTTCTATTGTTCATGATCTATTTGAATGTGAAGACGATGGGTTGTAGCAAAGTAATATAATTGCACGATTTGCTTATAGTCAAGAGAGAACTGGAGGCGGCGTCACTGGCTGAAAAAGACAAGGCAGAATCAGAGGAGGTATGTTTACAGGGACTGGCTGTCACATCAAGGTTTGAAAATGTCTGAAATGACACCAATAACATTATTCATTTCTCACAGTGATTAGCATTTTGTCTCATGATATTTGTGAATAACATTTCTTTCCAGAGATCCAAAGTGCCAGTGATAGCTCCCGCCTGTCTCTCAGTGTCAGGTGTGTATTTCACCTGTCCGCTAACTGGAGCCACTTTAGCTAAGAGTGAGAGGGAAGTACACATTAAAGAGGCCATTTTAATGGTACGTCTACAAATATTACTACTTGTTGTTTCTGCTTGATTTACAGCTTGTTTGTTACACAATGATTTCATCTGAATATGGCTGAATGTTATAATACTAAGTATTGTTGTGGTCCTTTGTTTTCACTGTCAGCGGTTTGAGGAGGATGCCGTGGAGGCCTCTGTTATGATGATCCACACATTTAACAAAGACAGAGACAAAGTAAAGGCTGCTATCGAGATTATGAGCAAGTAAGACACATCACATCAAGGGATCATCATGCTGACCTTGATTTCAGTTTTGACTTGCTGTCTGTTGTCAGTTAAAGATCTTTATTTACTTTAATGTTTGCTCTTGGCTGTTGTTATTTTCTGTTTCTTCATTGTTTTGACAATAGGTATATTGAAAATATATGTAAGAATCCCACTGAGGAGAAATACAGGAAGATTAAACTCAGCAACAAGGTGTACCAGGTAAGTCTGAAACGGGTCTCATTGATGTGAACCTCATCCCTTCGCGAATAAGCATTATTAATGTTTTTTGCCATATTGTATATATTTTACCCTTTTGTTTGATTTCAGGAGAAAGTTCGTTCTGTGGAGGGCAGTAGAGAATTCCTGGAGGCCCTGGGCTTCACAGGCATTATGCTTCCTGTAGAGGGGAAAGGTAAGTGAGTCCTGATGCTCATGATTAACAATTCCTTATCTTAGTCAACAGAAGAAGTAAATGTCATGCCAGTCAGTTATAACATTTTCTGTTTTGTGCCGTTCCCTGAGTACAGAGGAGGACGAGGAGTTCCTGGTGTTACTGGAGTACAGCCCTGACGCCCTGGAGTTGATGCAGGAGAGGAGGGACCGTCTCCAGAGAGGAGAGCCAGTGAGAGCTCAGCTGGACAGACAGCCGCAAGTGTTCAGATCGTCTCCCAACGCTCAGCGCTTCGAGCTGCCGCCAGAGTTCTACAACATGACATCGGAGGAGCTCAAGAAGGAGCAACTGCAGAGGTACAGACTCCTAGTGAACGGTTTGAACAGCATAAGTTATAGGAACTACATTTATACATGAATTATGTCGTTTTTCTGATCCGCTTTTGGTTCTTGTAACAACCCTGACAGCAGCATTCTGGATCAGCTGAAGCTGTTTAATAGCTGCACCAGAGCAAAAATAACACAATACAATACATGCATCATGTAGCTCTGTGCAAATGTATTGCATCTTGTTTTGATTTGGGGGCATTTTCTCAAAATAAACACAAGATTTGTTTATATTGTACACCTCTAATTGTCCAGAAAACAAACTGAATTTTTCCTCTGATTATGGTAGTAATGACAGGAATGTAAAGGAAATATAATATAAATATATATAAAATATATCCGAACATCTCTATTTTCCTATCGGATTACCACTATATCAGATTGTGCAACCCTGATTCATTCACAAGCCAGGCTGTTGCAAAACAACCACATAATTGCCTGCACATCAAGCTGGATGGTTCAAGATTGTTTTCTGCACAGATTCCCAGTCATAAGGGGGGGGGGGGATTAAACGGGAACATCTTCTAGAAGCATAGAGGTTGGTTTTATGGCTGAGAGAACAAAACAACAGAAAAAGAGCACATGTAATTGACCATGATTGCAAACATCCTCAAAACAAATGCATAAATAATGTATAAAAAGTAACTGAACCCTTCAGTTGTTATCCCTGTTATATGTGCTACCTCAGTCTAGCCACGGAAATAACAAATGTGCCACATGCACAACCACCCAGATTGTTGTCTGGTGGTATTTGTCAATCATTCATTGGAATAACCTGCACTCTACAACATGTGTGTTTTGTGTGTGTTTCCTAGGAGTGAGCTGGTGGAGAAGAACGCCATGCTGCGCACTAAAGCCATGAGGGAGAAGGAGGAGCAGAGGGAGAGAAGGAAATACAACTACACTCTGCTCCGGATCCGACTGCCTGATGGATGCCTGCTTCAGGGTAAGAACTTCTTTTTCCTTGTTTTCAGAACAAAACCAAATAAAAGTGTTGAAAGTCCTGATGTAAATGTAAACTAGGCATTGAAGATGATGTGTGATTGCAGGGACCTTCTATGCGTGGGACCGGTTGCCCGTGCTGTTTGCCTTCATCCGGGAGTCTTTGGTGGACGGCTGGCAGCCCTTTGAGCTCATCGCTCCTGGAGGTCAGAAACTGCAGGAGTCTGAAGAGGTGGCTCTCGCAGAGTGTAACCTGGTGAGTGGAAACCAGAGTCTTCTCATTGAACTGCCTAACATGAAATGTCCCTAGATTTAAAGATAAGGCTGTGACATTGAAATTCTTTATTTTTTTACAGTAAACAACCCTAATGATGAATTGAGTTTATCAACTATTGATATCACATGTTTCTCTGTAGCATGGATCTCCAGTGTTGTCCAAAACTATACAAATAATAGACAACCTACTTTATTGCATTGAATAAATGCCTTCATTCATTGTCATGATGCAATGCTACACCTGAGAACCAAATGTTTATTCATTCATTTTTATTATTTTATTTTATGAAAGTGAATTTGAGACCAGTTCTTTTTTTAAATGTCTTTGGAAGGAGCAAATTAGGTTGGTGCAACAGATCAAGTAAAAAATAAAAATGTTCCATTCTAATCTACCTCGACCTAATAACTCATGCCAAGCATTATGTCATTGTCTATACTCTAGCAGCGGTTCCCAACCTTTTTCAACTAAAAAAAAAATCTTAATAATGAAAATGTTTCCACACAAATCATGTTTTGCAAATTATTTGGCAGCCCACTTGCAATGACTACGGGGGCCGCAGCCCACAGGTTGGGAACCACTGCACTATAGTATTGAAACAAACAAAAAATGTAATTCAAATGAATGAATATACATTTTAATTGCAGTCCCCATACAAACCATGGTGTCCTCTTCACACAAGCCAGTATTTGAACACTCCTGCAGATCAAATCAGACTGTGTGTGTCTGCATGTTTCAGGTCCCTGCTGCTCTGCTCACGTTTGCCTGGGATGCGGCCGTTCAGGCGGATATTGCAGCTGCGGGTGGGAAGAGCCCCGCTCTACTCAAACCCTCCCTGCTGGAAACCATCCTGACCCTGAGCTGAGCAGACACCCTCCCCCGATCTCTCCCTGCTGCCTCCCCCCCTGTGGCCCTCCTGGGGTGGAATTGCCCAATTACAAACGACTAGTGATACGTTTATTTTTACAAATGCTAACTTTAAAGTCGGTAGCAGTGATAAAATAGGGGCAACTTCCCCTAAATGCGCTTGTTTTGCTGAGCATTATCCCTCCATGTGGGGGTAGGGTCCCCTCTCAGCTACGCCTTGTACTGAAGGAAGCGGTTACTAACAGATGAAAGGATTGGTTTTGTTGCATCGTGAATGTACAGGCTGTGTAGGAAACAGAGGAAGATCTTAACATCACCTACCTGCCAGTGAGGTGTTCTTCGTGTGGCATGTTGACAGACCTTGTTTTAACTGTGGCGACATTTCCTCCCCTTGCTTTGAAGTTAAACTGTTGTATTAACACTATGACTGATCAAGAGAAAAAAGTAGGTCAGCCAATTAGTTATGGTTATAGATTCTGTTGTGAACTATTTTGTATCTCAGTACAGAGCTTTTGCCATTTAAAAGCCGTTTGGTGTCTGTGCACTGGCCTCGACTTGAATGCTATTAGTTTTGTTTGGCGGTGCTCCAGTTTAAACAGTGTTCTGTCTGTCTGACGGTCCGGTCTGATGCAAGTCTAGCTTGTTCGTTCGTCCTCTGCAGTGTGGCCTCACACTCTCATTGTACAACATACTTCTACGGTAGTAACTAAAACTCCAAATGTTATTTATTTGTATTCATACGAGCATAAACCTGGACCCTAATCGAACATGTCTTTCTTGATAATTTGATTTAAAATTGAAGTCCAAAACGGAGATGTCTTTTTACAGACTAGAATGGCACCTCCGCCAAATACATTTTTTTATCCGCCTCTTGATTTGGATCCACTTCAAAATGTAATGTGTTCTTCCCGTGTTAGCCCGTGCTTCACCCTTCCACCAAGTTTCTTTTAAATCGGGCCTGTAGGTTTTCTGTAATCCTGCTGACAGAACGAACAGACACTGATACTGAAGGGTTAAGATGACAATGTGAAGTTGATTCTAATACCAATATAATTTCTTGTATTTTAGCAGTTTGAAGCACTTTTTAGGAAAAACCTTACACTTTATAAAACACTAAGGAGTTCCCTAAATGTAAAAAATAAAGCTTGAAGATATTGCTTTATGCATACTGTAGTAAAAACCGTGGTAATTGCAGAGGGGCTCACTGCAGAGGTTTCATGTAGCTTACTTGCTTGGCATGCTGGCTGGCGTAAATTACATTTCTGTTGTCAAAACGGGCCGCATGGACTTGTGTTGTCTTGAAAGTGATGTATTTGTTTGTATCAAACACATTTCCTTGGTATAAAAAAAGGTATTTCAAACAGGGTGGTAGTACGTGAACATGCAGTTAATCTACCATCCCACTGAATGAGATGAGAATTCAAAGCTGTTTCAATTTATGTTTTAAATTCACCCTTATCACACATCATTAGGGTGATTTATACATTTATTTTGGTAGTGGTTTTGCCGTTTATGTATGCACACCAGATATATATGTAAAAGCTAGTTATAATTGCTCGTGATTGGTTAAGATGACAACGACCTACCTCTCACTGCTTATCTGTCTGATACATCCCAAGGGGGTTGTACACTAAAGTGGAAGAAAGGCCTGGATTATTTTAGTTTTAAAGAAGAAATAATTGTCACCTCATAAAACCTGTAATATTATTAATTGAGCAACTAAAACCTGTTTCAGCTGCTTTGTTATGTGTAAAATTTGACTACACAACCCCAGCGTTTGAGGACTAAGATGGACGTCAGCAACATGTCTGCTGTCTTTTATTTAATGGAGGCGTCTAAATGTTTGATCTGCATTGTAACCTTAATAGATCCCGAGTGAGCAGTAGTGATGTGTGCAGACTGTCTGAGTTGTAATCTGTTGCTTTTCAACCTGCCTGTAAAAGAGATCGCTTGCATTGCATCATAACTTTTGTTTAATAAACAGTTCTGAGGCGAGTCTGTTTCACTTCAACATGTTCCTAAAGGGGAGCTACTTTAAAACACATACAAGAACCATATCATGCTGAGTTTCCTGGACAGCTCTTTGGATAGAAATGTTTAGTATTTTGAGTATTCCTCTGAAAATGATCACAGCTTACACCATGACATTCAGGATCGAGCTTCTACTGTAATGTCTGAGACTAAACTAGAGGTTTATACAGCTTTACTGTTTGTTATTACTCCACACAGCAGCAAGTACACACCATTTCCCCCATGAATGCCAAGTGGTGGCAACCTCATGAAAGCTGGTTTTGCCTCACCTCCTGTAGTCTGCAGAGGAACTGGGACTTAACATTAACAGAAATCCAGCAATACATTAGTATTACAGCCAACCGTTCATATTGTTGGTCCCTGAGCAATTGAGCCTTTCTTTCAAGAGAAGAACACATATTTCCATTCATTAGAACTTAATGACAATTTGCAAACATTGCTCTGCCCAGATGTGCATGTATTCAACTTTGCTGACAGAGATGCCTACCGAATAGTGACTTTCCAGGTTGGAAATGTGTCGTTTCCAAAGGCTTGTTGTTGAGCAGTTTTACGCATTACTGCACAAGTCGTTTTTATGATCTAAAAGCCAATGCATTTGGCATTCGTTTTTCCCCTAAAATGTAGACCAACAGAAGAAAATACCCTGGTATTGATTATACAGAAATAAATTCAATTTTCTTCTTTAAACTTGCACTTAAAAAGGTTAACATTCTGAAACTGAATCAATATTAAGTAATCAGGACAGAGGTTTGTAAAGATTGAACTGGAAATGAATATATTAATTCTTCCATGGACATCAGATCAGCTTTTAAAACAAGGGCTCATCCAAATCATGACCCTGATCAGAAACGCTAACTGAGTTAGTGAATGGTTACTGTGCTAGGCATCAGGTTACTGATCGCATCAAGAAGTGGCATTGAATTAATGGAATATAAAAGTGCAATACTTTTATTCATGTTTAATGAACTTATCCTGTTCAAGTATTCTTGGAAAAAAACACAGAAAATACATATTTATAAAACATTGTGACACTGGACCTAACTGTACAAGTACAGATCTAGCAACTACTCCAGAGAGTTGTCAGAGTTAGAAATTGCAGAATAAATGCACCAATTGAAATTGAAGGGAAATGTACAGAATGAACTTCAGCCTCTCATTTCCCAATCCTTATTTCTGGTAAACTATATATATATATGTACACATTTAGACTAGAAGATATCAGATAACGTTAATTCAACATTTCAGGAACCGTAAAGAATGTTGTTTTTGATTTCTTGGATTCTTCCTCATGAACATTGGGCATTTCTGTTCTGCTCTTCCTCCCTCTGCTCAACAACCTGTTGTTGCTAACGCGAGCCGAAGAGTCTCCAAAGAGGCCGAAGCCAAACATGCGGGACTGAAACTTCCATGCAAAAATCAATCACACACACTTAATGAACATTGGACAAACTGCCCTCAATAATCAAGTCAGACACTTCTGATGTTATGCACAACTACATCTTACAGGCGAGACCACTCCCGACTCACAGAAGAAAAAAAAAAGGTGAAAGGAACTCATAATATTGAGCAGAAGCCACCTGAGCGGGTTGCCTGCACCAAAGTGTGCTGCTTCATGTTGCTTGAAGACGTGATTCTGTCTTGGACACAGAAGCGTTCAGAACCAGGAAGGAGACATTAATCAGGGAGGGAGCCTCCTGTCCTCAGGCCGTGGAGAGGGTTGGAGCCGCGCTGGACACCGGGAGGGCCGCTGTGTCGGAGGGAGTGACCTCTATCACACAGTCTCCCTCATTGGACGACTTTCTGGTCGGGGCTACAGAGAGATAAATATAATGAGATTTCCTTTATATAATATATAACATGTACGCATCCATTTAAAGCTGAAGAATGAGGCTGAAACTAACATTAATTGCGAGTGGTGACAGCAATGCTGTATTGTTCTTCACTTTGTAACTATTCACCAACTGTAGTGAGAACCACAGAAGAAGTTGTTTATATTTGAGTCAGGAAAGATTTTGTCGACGTGATAGTCGCAACACTGCAAGACGCAAAAACAAAACTTTACAGGGGTGTATTTATGATACAAACTGAGTTGACAAGTATTTTTCATTCCATCGACTAAATGTTGCAAATCTAATCAAAAGTTTGCAGGCATTTGTAAATGAATGAAGAAGGTGCCTAAAATACGCAGTGAACCTCAACCCAACCCGTTTCCTTACTCAGATCTGCCTGAACACTCCCGCTATAAACATTTATAAATGTTCAAGTATAAAGTGCTTTCCAAAAAAAGAGAGTAATTCTGGGGTTGGCTTTCATCTGCTGGCTAGAAGCACCCGCAGTCAGGATCAACTTGTTTACAAAACGCAACAGACAAATCTCATTGTGCCTTAAACTTTTGGAAATAATAAGTGTAACTATTCAAATTCAGCGATTGGCAACACAGATGTATCAACAAAACAAAAAAATGAAGGGAGTGACCCTTAATATGGAAATATTTAACCATCTGCTCTAAGCAATTTGTGCTTGGACATGCATCTAAAAAATCCTGATGCATCCATTTAAAGGGGACCTATCATGCAAAATGCACTTTTTGATGTGTTTTATACATAAATATGTGTCCCCGGTGTGCCAGGGAACTCACAAAGTGTCCAAAAATAAAACCCTCTATCTTTTCCTCCGTACCCAAATCTCTAAAAACGGGGCTACAACGGAGCTGATCCAGATTTGCGTCCGATATGACGTAATATTGGAAATGTAGGCTGGCTTGACACCCACGGCCCTATCAGAAACGTTGCTATCAGAAACAATGCCCGACTGTTTTGGACGTAATATGGTCGGTGCATGTTTACATTAGCATCGCTAACACGCAGAGCTAACCTGTACTGCACAGAGCATGTGTGTGAAGAAGCAGGAAACAAAAAGGAACTCACCTTGTGGTATAACCGGCAAGAGAGAAAGCCTTTGAGCTCCATACTGTTTCAGAAATAATCCATGATATGGCGTTTCATCACCGCAGTATTTAGTTTAGACAGTAGCTGCCGGGTCCCGCATGAGCTCAGCCCCCTACTTTTTTATTAATCAATTTCTTAAAAAAAAAAAAGCCTTTATACCCCAAATCAGCACTTTTGAAACAGGAAGGGAAATAGAGGGATATGAGGCATGGCTAGAATGGGTGATCTGTTTGGTATTTTGAGCAAAACACTTCATAGACATGTTTTTTATATATCTGAGACCTATGCTATTGCCTAGAAATAGCATGATAGGTGCACTTTAAATGAAATCTGAACCTTATAGTAAACAACTACAGTTCCCAATAACAGTTTAATATTGGTTCTGTGTAACTCACCAGTCTTTGTGGACACAATGACACAATCTTCTTCGTCATCTTCCTCAGTGTCGGCTTGAAAACCATCTGCCTCTATTGCCTGAAATCCCAATGATACAAGAACACTTGAGACACTGGTAGGATACCCTCAGGGTGGGATAAGCATGTATTTGAGTTGATGATCTTAAAGAGGATTAAATGAAATGCTGCAGTTAAACATCTATTCGAGAGCTTTTCTCTACCTGCTCTGGGTCAGCACATTTCTTCATGAACTTGGTGATTGACATGCTGCCTGTGCTTTTCCTTTTGTTGGAGGATGACGATGTGGACGAGGAGTTCTGTGGGGTTGTGGGGGAGTTTCCCTGAGAGCCGGTGGCAGCCTGTGGTTCTTCACGGGACTCTTCTCGAGCCCCTGTGGTGAGGTAGGTCCATTGGCAGGGCACAGGAAGAGCGTCCTGACCGAAGCGGGTCAGAACCTCCGCCTGGACGTACCAGCAGCGTCTGTAGGTGGAGCGCTTCTCATAAGCAGCGTTGCTCTTCATCAGGCGCTTCACCTGTATTCTGATGAAAGAGGGAAAGAAAATTCATTAGATATAAAGGTGAAAGATGTATTTTCAAATGAGATGCAGTGTTTGTTGTAGCTTTTGAAATGAATAGCCAAATACTTTACTGTCTTTTAAAAATAAAAATAGTATTAGCTCTTAAAATGTAAACCGTACCATTTTGTAGATTACGTTTAGTTCTCCTTTACAGTTAATATTGTAAATAGAGCAGTGGCGGACTGGCCATCGGGACGTTCAGGACGAATCCCGATGGGCCGGTACTGAAGTGGGCCGGCAGGGTTCCTGCAGGTTTCGCCAACTCAAATTTAAGACTTTTTAAGACCACTTTGAATAGAATTTAAGACCTATTTCATGGCAAAAAAGTATGAAGGAAAATTGCTATGAAAGAAGAAATACGTCCCATAATTACTTACAAAGCAAATGTATTCATGTTCAACATAAGAACAATGACTGAACATAACAGCATAACAGTACAGAACTGTGTTAGCCAAAAAGTGTGTATGTGTGTGTGGGTGTTTCTCAATCGCGAGTACGCTTGCTTGGTAGCACATGTCTGCCGAGCATCTTGCTTCAGAAGCGAGTCAAGAATACTTCCTGGCATTCGGAAAACGAAGTGTGGAACACGCTAGCAAGTGTGCAGGTGTGCGTCATATGAGAGGCCCCGCCTCTTACATCTTCCGCCACAGATTTGGGGAAATTGGTCCGTGCGCAAAGCATTGTGGGGATTTTAAGACCGCGAAGTCTACTCATGTGCAGCCTCGATATTTCTCCAAACGGAGTACGCCGGGCTCGGTAGATTTCCAAGTATGCTGGAGATTGGAACAGTACTTCGGCGGCACTCGATGACGTAGTATGCTTGAAATAGTGGCTCTGAAGCAGCTTTACTCGCGATTGAGAAACACCCTGTGTCTCTGTGTGTGCTTGTGTGTGTGTTAGGGCTGTGCAATTAATCGTATTTTAAATCGCAATTACGATTTTGGCCTGCCACAATTACAAAAACAACATAATCGAAAAAAACTATTATTTAGCTTTGCTAGGTTGTGACAGTGCACTACAACATATTTGATCTGATTAATTTG